ATCTATGTGAATGTAAATTGTATATATAATTATAGTCTGATTCGCATGATGTTTTTTCCTCGAGAGGTGTGGACAAAGGAGGTATAAGACTTGTAAATAGTATTAGCACAGGTATTAGCATATAATTACGAACTAGATAGGTCACATTGTAAATAATGTTTATTATAGTAAGAAGTATACATATTTATCTTCCTTTTCCACAATGTTAGAGCCGAGGTACTGCCGGCGACTTTTCAATACTCGAGACTACCACAAGACAACTGAGAACGTCACTGCACAGTACAGTACTGTACTGTACTGTACTGTACTGTACTGCACTGTACTGTATCTGTTACTGATTGGTCACTACCGGGTCTGTCGCCGGCTCTTCATTTTATACAAATTGTATCGACGTGTTAGCTAGGGACACATATTGGGAATAGTGAGTACGCGCGAGTGTGGACGAGAATCCCGCTGTCGCGGGAATATATTAATGAAATGGTGCTCCAATCGTAGTTTCATATCATACTTTAAAACTGTGCATTTAAAATGAGTAGCTGATGCGTTCTCCTCCTAGATTAGTTTTAAATAAGGGATCTATTTTTATATGTACAAAGAGACACGCGGCTGTACTCCGTCTGTGACGGGCGCCGCGCGCCGGCGGGCGGGCGCCAGGGGGCGCCAGCGCGCGACTGTGGGCGCCAGCGGGCGCCCGTGGCCGCCGCCGGCTTCTCGCTGGCGCCCGCTCGCTGCTGGCCATCTGTATCTTTTTTTTATAAAGAAATGTTTATAAAATAAAAATAAATTATTCAATCGTTGTGTAAATTTTGACACGACCAATAAAGACTAACTGAAACAACTAATACAACTGTTTTATTATTGAGTTATTAATTCCTGGCACATGAAATTTTAACCCTTCCATGCTTCCATGGTTTTAGGCTACATACTTTTGGTTTTGTCATCATGAAAGAATTCATTAAGGATAGTTATAATTGCAGAAAAGGACATAGAGGAAGTTACATTGAAGTAGTTGTTAATTGTGAAGGGAGTATGTTTTAATGAAACATCTGTTCCCGATTGATTACCTTTTATTACTAACTCATACAAATGCAATACATTACATTATATAACATAGATCTTACATAGATACTACACCTCACCTCGGGGGTGCGAGAAAAAAAAAATGCATAACAATCATTTGTATTTTTTTTCTAAAGATATAAGTAAAATAAAATGTTACTTAAGATCTAAATGGCTTAGTCCTATTTTTATGGATAACATAAGCTTTATTATTCTTTAAAATTTTGACGTTAGCACCTAAATCTTCTAAAATAACAAATGGTCCATCCCATTGCGTATCTAATTTAGTAGCCGTTTCATTCTTAATAAGTATTAATTGACCATTATCATATGTTACATTATTAATGTTATTATCATAAGCACTTTTACGTTTATGTTTACTTATTAATAAATTTTTACGAGCATCTTGATGTGCTACTTGTAACTTATACTTAAGATCCAAAGGATAACTTTCAGGGTTATACATAGGTTCTATGCATTGACTTACTCTACATGGTATTACACTAGCTCTACCAAATACCAATTCGAAAGGTGTGTACTTTGTTTCTGTATGAACAGTATTATTGAAACTGTAACACCAAAACGGTAACCAATGACTCCATGTTTCTTTTTTCCCATCACAGTATATTCGCAAAAAAGCACCGAGACTTTTATGAGAGTTTTCAAGTGCACCTATAGATTGATGGTGATAAGCGGTGGATGACAATTTATTTATTCCCAATAGTTTACATACCTGTTGCATCACTTAAGACATGAATTCTGTTCCACGATCAGTCGCGATGGTATTTGGTACACCAAATCTTAAGATAAAATTATCAACTAGAGCTTTTGCTATACTTACCGTTTCCTTTGTTTTTAGAGGATACGCCTCTACAAACTTAGTTAACTCGCACTGCAGGCTTAATATATAACGATTACCTTCAGAATCTTTTTCTAAAGGGCCTACAATATCGAGAAAGATCTTTTCAAATGCATATGAAGCAGTTGTAGTTATCTCCATTGGCGCCTTGATATATCTACAATGCTTCATTTTCTGACACTTTGCGCATTTACTCACAAATTCCTTAACATCTTTATCTAGTCCTGGCCAGTAAAATTTTCTTTTAATGTTATTGGTCATCCTACGTACACCAGCATGTCCTGCAGTGGGTAGTAGATGAAAGTCATGTAAAATATAATTTCTTTCTTCTTTATGCTCAATTCTTTTAACACCTTTTAATACATACATTTGGGGACCGGTCCATTCCTTATTAATTTTTATTTCTTTTAATATATCCTTAACTCGTCGAGTACCGGTTTTGTAGACACAATTATAGAACAATAGGTTGCGGTCACCGGTGACCGCTTGGTGTTTGACAGTTTAATGAAACTTTCGTGTGCCTTAACTTTTATTATGCATAATTCTTTTATCTTCATATTTGTGCAAAATTCTCCTAACTTAGTCACAAATTCGACTCGCGTAAAATGTGCCTTGAACCTCAACTACATGTGGTTGATCAGGCCACGATTCGTCGGGTCTATTTACAACAGGTGAAGGTAGGTCTTGTTTGTCTAAATCTAAACGCCTTTTCTGCGCTCTTGTCATAACTAACATTATTTCTTTATGCATTTGCTTTAAGTTATCTGATGTTATATTTATCCTAGACAAAGCATCTGCGACACTGTTCTCCTTTCCTTTTACATATAATATTTTAAACTGATATTCTTCTAGTGCTAATCTGAATTTGGTTAATCTACTTGATGGATCTTTCATTGAAAATAAATATATTAGAGGCCTATGGTCTGTCATAATTGTGAATGTTTTACCGTATACGTAAGGTCTAAAGTACTTCACAGCCCACACAATAGCTACTAATTCTTTCTGAATTGTTGGATAGTTTA